GGTGTTCGAGTCTCAGCTCAAAGGTTCAGGCTTGTTTGTTCATTATTGTTGTCATCAGTGACTAGTCAACATTGACTCGATTTTCATCACATAAATGTAGACTTCGTTCAACCCCTAGTTTCTAGAAATGCTCCAAACAATTGGTCGCTGATCAAGACCAGCTGAAAATAACATCTTTGATTCAATAGGTGGTCTCTAAACATTCACATTTTTACAATGCAGTAGATGTGAGCATGCTCACAACAAATGTGAGAAGTGTGGTAAATCAGTCTCAGTCTCCTCCGGGCTACAGTACTAGAGGGCTCAGGTTTTCTTATATGTAAGGAGGGGGGCTTCAAGGACAAAAAGTTGAGAATCACTGACCTCGAACACTCTAGCAGCTACATAGCAATGCCTTTGCAACCATCCAGAATCGTAGCAGAGCCCTAGCAACCAACTATTTGCTTGTGATGTACACTAAAAATGCCTACTAAATGGCTAAATATAAATGTAAACAACCTAGCAAACAGCTAGTCATGTCCTAAAAACCACAATACCTTAGCCACACCCTAGCAAATATCAACCCCTTAGTGACCACCAAGAAAACCTTAGAAATTGCCTAGCAATGCCCTGGCAACCACCCAAAGCACCTAAGCATAACCTAGTAACGCCTTGCCAACTATCCAGAACTCCTTAGCAGCCACTTAGCAAAACACCTTGGCAACCATCCAGCAATGCCATCCAGACCTCCCAAGCAGCCACCTAGCAACACCTTGGCAACCATCCAGAACACCCTAGCAGCAACCTAGCAACACCTTGCCAACTATCCACAACTCCCGAGCAGCCACCTAGCAACACCTTGGCAACACTTCAGAACACCCTAGCAGCCACCTAGCAACACCTTGGCAACCATACAGAGCACCTTAGCAGCCACTTAGCAACACTTTGGCAACCATCCAGCAATGCCATCCAGAACTCCCGAGCAGCCACCTAGCAACACCTTGGCGAACATCTAGAACAACCATAGCAATGCCTTTGTAAAATGACTAAATATAAATGTAAACAACCATTTAGTTATGCCCAGAATATCATAGCAACACCCAAACGCACACCAACCCCTTAGTGATTGCTCAGAACACCTTAAAAGTGCCAAGCCAAGCCCTGGCAACCAACCAGAACACCCTAGCAACAACCCAGAACAACATAGCAGCCACCTAGCAACACCTTAACAACCATACAGAACATCCTAACAATGCCCAAGCAACCAACAAATTGCTTTTGATATTCCTAATTTGTGAGTTGCTTAGGATAAAAACTGTTACATGACAAAATATAAATTTAAACAACCTAGCAAGCATGTAGCTATGCCCTGGTAACCACTCAAAATACCATAGCCACACCCAAACACATACCAACCCTCTTAGCGACCGCTCAGAACACCTTAAAAATTGCCTATACCTCCCTGAACACTCTAGCAACAACCCAGAACAAACTAGCATCCCCTTAGCAATGCCTTGGTAACCATCCAGAACACTCTAGCAACCAGTCATATTCTTGTGAGGTTCCTCTTTTGTAAATCACATCCACTAGAACCTTAGAAACTGAAGAGGTTGGCAATAAGTGGTGATGAGTTTGACTAACTTTATATGATAAAATGTACAAATCTTTAATCAACAACATTGTTATTGTACTTAATTACAGTATACTTGCATGTAGTATGTGTAAAATAATGTAATGTATGTTTGTGCAAAGGGTCAACCCGCACAATATGTAATGTCAACATGAAATGAGATTCAAATAAAATTATAATGAAATGCAGTATGAGCTGATCAGAACTCAGTGTTGTCCAGCCATCAGGGGACTTGGAGTTTTTTAGGAGGGCGTAAAGTTACGGATTGCTAAGGTGGTATTATTAGACACCAGTGCTCAGCCAAGCAGACAGATTCCATGTCTGATCTGCCCTTCCTGCTCGAACCGCACAAGGGCGAAGCCCAAAGCGTGCATATATAGTCCATCTGATCAAATGAAGGCGCGGCCATGCTGTTAAGCAATCATCTTTTTGGCTGCGTCTGATAAGTGGAGTCTGTACTCTCCAGATGGTGTGTGTGTATGCGTGTTTGTACGTGTGTTTGTGTGTGTCTATGGATGCAACTCAGAGAGTCACAGGATGAGGTCAGTCTGGCCACACTGATCGGTCTTTCCCATGCTGCCAAGATCAGAATCCGATCCCAGGAGAAGGAGCACGGGACGCACAGCACGGGCTTGGAGCTCAGTCTGGAAAATAGTGCGCAAATGCTTGAGTTCCAACACTTCAGCAAGAAAAAAACAGATAAAAGAGAGCATACTTGGTGCCAGCATGGTGCCAGAATAGTGTGGAATTGTAATGGATTCCTGGATTCCGGTTTTGGCTCTGTAACAGTGATAACCTGGGCAAAGTTTGGAATGGAATTCTAACATACTTCTACTGTATACTGCCTACTGTTTATTTATTTATTGTTTATTTATTTTTTGCCTTTATTTTGATAGGACAGTAATGGCACTTTTCCACTGCGTGGTACGACTCGGCTCGGTACGGCTCAGTACGGCACGGCACGGTTCGGCTCGGCAGTTGACAGAAAGGGGGGGTGGGATCGGGTCCATGAGCCAGGACTCGAACTTGGGACGTCTGAAGTGTACTGTGCTACATGTCGTTGCGCTGCCACGAGGCCATTGTCACTAATGCCTACTATTTTTTTTAAATAGTATGTGAAAAAGTATGCAGGCAGTATGCAACAAGAAATGCTCTACCTGCTGGTAGATGCCACTGGTTCCAAAAATGTGTCCTTTGATGGCCATTTTTTGCAGGCTACATATAAATCGCAAGTATTTCATTGCAATACAGTAGAACAACTCCCTTTGAGGTGAATGGGTTAGTATTCATGCCTTGTTGTATATTGAACTTCAGGAAAATGTAGTAACCTGCATACTGTGCACAGTATCCATAATGCATACTGGACCCCTAGTTGGAGTAGTATGGTGTTATGCTATTCCAAACATTCCTAGTTTCTTATAGAAATGACAGAGCACATTGATGTTGTTTTTAATGATAAATTGATGAGTCCACGTCCGAGGTCATGCCCCCAGGTCTGAGATCGGCCCGTGGCAGTGGAATAGCATTAGATGATATGAGAGTCAGGAAGGGAGAGTGAGAGGAGCAGTGAAAAAACAGGAGGGAATAAAACCCCTCAACTGGGCAATTCAATTAATCTGCTTTTAGAGGAGTGAAGAAAAGAGAGAGGGAGACAGAGATAGTGAGAAAATGTGATTAATCAAAGTGAGTCACTCACAAGAGGGTCCACTGAAAGGTTTACTACCTAACAAAATTTGAAAAACACAATTAAAATGAAGGCTATAAGCAATTGCAACTAATCAAGTGAATTTTTGGCAGCTTCTTTAAATAAAATGAAAGTGAGTGGGACCTGGGGCTGGTGAGCTCCAAAAATGAAGGCCATGAAGGTGCCATTAAAGTAGTCCATATGAAGTCATACAGTAGCTATATGTAAAGAACTGACAGACGCTTAAAAACCTAAGAATATCTCATGATAATACTAAATAAATCTCTAATTTCTTAAGTTTAGGGTTATTGTAGTTATTAATAGCATAATTTAAGAACAGTAGATGTTATCTTGTATGTAGAAGTTAACTTGATTGTCAAAGTAGATGCAAACTTGTACATACAAGTAAAAATATAAGAAAACTTGTATGTAAAAATGAACTTGTATGAATGTGTATGTCAGGATTATGGATTTATCTGTGCGTGTTTTTGCCCCTGTGACCCAGTTTCTTCCTCATGTTGATTGTGTTAATTTGATTCCAGGTGTGTCTCGTTCCTCCCCAATTATCCTGCCTTTCAGTTCTTGTTTGTTGGGTCTGCTTGTTGAATGTCCTCCTTGTTCTCGGGTTTCCTGTGGATTATTAAAGACTGTGTTATTCAAATACTCCTTGTTTCCTTGTTCCTTGCTCCCCGAGTGAATTGTGACAGTGTAGAAGTAAACTTTTATGTAAAACTAAAAGTACACTTGTACTTACAAGTAGAAATAGAAGTTAACTTGTAAGTAAAAGTAAACTTGACAACTAAACTTTTATGTACAAACAGAAGCAAACTGGTATGTACAAAAGTTTACCTTTATATACTGTACAAGTTTGCCTTTGTTCGTACATAAGTTTGTTTTTACTTTTACAAGTAAAAGTAAACTTGTATGTAAAGGAAAAAGTATGCTTGTATGTGTAAATAAAATTGTATGTACAAACAGAAATAGAAGTGAACTTGTATGTAAATGTAAACTTGTATGAATGTGTACAAGTAAACTTTTATGAACAAATAGTAGCAAACTTGTATGTAAAACAAAGTACACTTGTATGTATAAGTAAACTTGTACTTACAAGTAGATATAGAAGTAAACTTGTGTGTAAAAGTAAAGTTGACAAGCAAACTTATGTACAAACAGAAGCAAATTTTTATGTACATTAATGTTTACTTTTATATACAAGTTTGCTTATATTTGTTCATGAAAGTTTACTTTTACAAGTAAACTTATACTTACAAGTAGAAATAGAGTAAACTTGTGTGTAAAAGTAAAGTTGACAAGCAAACTTATGTACAAACAGAAGCAAATTTTTATGTACATTAATGTTTACTTTTATATACAAGTTTGCTTATATTTGTTCATGAAAGTTTACTTTTACAAGTAAACTTATACTTACAAGTAGAAATAGAAGTAAATTTGAATCTAAAAGTAACTTGACAAACTTTTGTGTACAAATAAAAGCAAACTTGTATGTAAAAGCAAAAGTATACTTGTATGTACAAGTAAACTTGTATGTACAAGTACAAATTGAAGTGAAGTAAACGTCTATTTCTTCTGTGTTGTTGGTCATATGTGTGAAAGTACACTTCCGTTTTCTTGTGTTTGTGGTTTTGTAGTTCAGAAATAGTTCATTTTCTCTCTCTTTCTATTTCTGTCACTGTATTTGATCTGCAGGTCTAACTGGCTGAAGCCGTGCTGTGGGAGGAGAGCAGCGCTGTGGCAGGTGTGTTTGCTGAGTGCCGGCTTCAACTGTTTCCTGGTGGCCTGTGTCGTCTTGGTGGTGCTCTTACTGACTTTGGAACTGCTCATTGATACTAAGCTTCTACAATGTGAGTATTAAAAGAGGTTCAGATCCCTTTAGAAGCCAATCTGGGCTCAGAATGAGGATTTACAATCTAGTTGTTAGTACACATGCTCTGACAAATCAGCGGGGCGTATTTGGAGTTTCCGTGCGAAAGCACCCTCTGGCCTTCAGATGGAGATTTACTACTGATGACAATCTGTAGTAAATCTGATTGTGCATGACAATCGCAGCTTTTGCCTAAGTTATTACTTCAGGAATCTAATGTATAGCTTATTAGAGTCATTCGTTCCAGAATCACACTACAATGGTCAAGCTGTATGTCATTTGTTTGGGATTCACTTTACTGTAGTCACACATACTTACTTACCTGGCAGGGGAGACACTATGATCAAGAAGGTGGTTGCATTGCACTCCGGCCGTGCTGACCCCTGAGAATTCCCCAAATGTGGGAATCACGACTGCATAATTTATGGTAGTGGGGGAGTGCGTTTGCACTCGGCAGTCATGGCCTAATGGATAGTGAGGACTTGTAACCACCACTTGGATGGGTTAAATGCAGAGCACAAATTCCGAGTATGGATCACCATACTTGGCTACACGTCACTTCACTCACTCACTTTCAATCACTTTATATATTTGATTCACTAAAAAGAACCGACTCACAAGAGTAATTCGTTTAGGAATCGGTCTACTCTGGTTGTGCTGTACTGTATGTTTTTGATTCACTAAAGAGAAGTGGTTTATTGGAGTCAGTTGTTTGGGATCTAGACTAGACTGGTCAGTTGTTTAGGATCTAGACTAGACTGGTCACATTGTGGGTTTTTGATTCACTAAAGAGAAACAGCTCACAAGAGTCATTTGTTTGGGAGTCAGACTACACTGGTCAAGCTGTATGTTTCTGATTCACTAGGCAGAAACAGCTAATTTCTTTTCAGAGTCATTCATTTGGGATTTTGACTGCATTGGTTGAGCCATATGTCATTTGTTTGGGACTTGAACTACTACAGTAGCATGGTTTTGATTCATTAAAAAGAACCTGCTCATTTGTCTTTTGTTCTGGAATCAGACTGGAATCAGAAAATCATTCAGTTTCAGGATATTTTCAAAAAATACAGGATATTTTAAATACGAACTGGTTCTCATTTCCCAACCTAAGAAATTCAGACTACCTTGGTTATGCTGAATGTTTTTGGTTTCCTAAAACTAAAAGATTCAAAAGAGTCTTTTGTTTGGGATTTAGACTACACTGATTTCACTGAATGTTTTTGATTCACTAGAAAGAAGTAGCTCATAAAAGTAATTTGTTCAGGAATAGGGATGGGTACCGAGAACCAGTATTTTTTGGACCGGTACGTAATTGGGTCGATACCGGAATACCGATAAGCTTCAGGACAAACTACCGATAAGCTTCAGGACAAACGATACTCTTATCGATACTTGCGTTGTTTTATCTCCGTATACTTCAATGTTAATGACAAATTAGAAGCTGCTGCTTGTCATTATCCTTCACTGAATGATGTGGCCGAGGTTTGCTCGACGTGCATGTGATATCCATGCGCATGTGCGGTGTGTGTTTGCGTGCAATCAGTCATCGCGGAAAGAGTGAAACGTTCGAAAGTGTGGGCTCATGTTACAAAACTAAGTGACACCAGTGTCAGATGCAATATATGCAGTAGTGTAATAGTGAACAAAGGAGGCAGCATTAGTAATATAATGAAACATTTAGTAACAAAATACAACATCTACCTCAAGCAATACGCTGCATTAGGTTATGTCTCCCGGTTCCAACTGCAACTCGCGAGACACATTCACATCAAATGTTGATTCGGTAGAGTTACACTCACGAGACCCTGCACTTATTCGCAGTCACAAAAGTACATTATTTCCGCGTGCTTTAAAGCCTTGCCGGTTAAACGTTTAATTTGCATGCTGTTCTAACATGTGCTTATTCAGAGCACGTACACCTGAAGCGTCTGTACACTAAAAGGCCGGTCAAACAGCACCTGATTACTTAGTTATCTTAGTTATCGTCTGATTGCGCTAATACTGTCAAAAACACACAAGGTTTACATATAAACACAGTTAATTATGCCTAAAATGAAAGTGGACAGTTGAGAGAAAAACAGATGTGTGCAGCTCTTAAAGCCACAGTACTAAACATGCTGCCGCTTGTCATTAAAGAGATAGTTCACCCAAAAATTTAAATTCTGTCATTATTTACTCAGTCATGTTGTACCAAACATTAATTTTTATTTATTCTTGTGCTGGACACAAAAGAAGATATTGTGGGTAATCAAACAGTTGCTGGTCCCCACTGACTTTAATAGTAGGAAAAAAATATGAAAGTCACTGGAGACCAGCACCTGATTAGTTTCCCACATTCTTCAAAATAACTTTTTATGTTCAACAGAAGAAAGAAACTCATTCAGGTTTAAAACAACTTGAGAGTGAGTAAAGGATTACACAATTTTCATTTTTGGGTGAACTATTCCTTTAATGTTAATAAAATAAAACAAAGAGAAAAATAACTGACTGCTCTTGACTGAAGAACTTTAATACAGTTGCTAATACAGTAATACAGATTAATACAGTATTTTTTGCACCAAATAGTATCGATAACAGTATCAATAAGTACCTGTATCGATAAGCAGTATCGGTATCGATAAAATGTAAACGATACCCATTCCTATTCAGGAATCAGGCTACACTGGTTGAGCTGTATGTTTGCGATTCAAACCATTGTAGTATGTTTTTGATTCACTGAAAAGAACCAACTCACAAGAGATTCGTTCTGGAATCAGAAAATCTTTTGATTTCGGACTTCATTAAAAAAACAAACCAAAAAAAAAAAAACCATTTACTTACTCAGTCAATTCTGAATAAGAACTGGTTCTCATTTCCCAAACTAAGACATTGAGACTACCTTGGTTACACTGTATGTTTTTGATTCCCTAAAACTAAAAGATTCAAAAGAGTAATTTGTTTGGGATTTAAAATACACTGAGTACTCTGAATGTTTTGATTCACTAGAAAGAAGTAGCTCATAAAAGTAATTTGTTCAGGAATCAGGCTACACTGGTTGAGCTGTATGTCATTTGTTTGCGATTCAAACCATAGTAGTATGTTGTTGATTCACTGAAAAGAACCGACTCACAAGAGATTCGTTCTGAAATTAGAAAGTCTTTTGATTTCAGACTTCATTTTAAAAAGCGTTTATTCATTCAGCCAGTTCTGAGTAAGAACTGGGTTCTCGTTTCTGCATTTTATATTTACATAACAATACATTTATCTGGACAATTTAAAAGTACCATGAATACAGTATACAAACACTTATCTCTCATAGCTATACGTCTGCAATTGTTGCTCTAATCTCTGTGGAGATTATTCTCGGTAAACACATTGTGAGTGACATTTGCTTAGCTGCTATTTGCCTGGACATTTTCATTTCTCATAAGAGCCTATTGTAAATCTGACCGTAGATCCCCATTCACACTACGGTGGAAAATCACGGCTCAGTGTGCAGATGAGTGCACACTAAAGAGAGAAATGTGAGAGATGACAGAGGCATAAGTCAGCCTATATCGCTCTGTCTTCTCTGGCCTTTACACAGCCCTGATAGACAGATGGAGGGGGGAGAGACGGATGGGAGCAGTGGAGGAGTGCAGGACAGCAACCGGCCGGCGAGATTAATGGAAGGAGGGATTGAGAGATGAATGGACTGATGTACAGATCAGTGAACAGAGCAAACTAAGACATATGGGCCAGGAGATTGGCGGCGTGTGGAGAGAGCGAGCGAGAGAGGGGGTGATAACTGAATGCAGTAGATCTCTTGCACCGTAATAGAGCAGATAAATAGACAGATGCAGGATGCGGATGGGTGGAATATCATATCACAAATGCCTAATGCTTTCAGTTCAGGCAGCTGCCATAATGAGATTGAGCAGCCACTGTCCTCGGCTTGCGACACGGATGCGGCACATGTAGGAAATTTGGCTTCCCTCTTGAAAAGTTCCTGTAAGGAGGAGTTTCATATGGGAATAATTCTGAAGAAGAAATCACCCATTTTGTATATTTCAAGGATTTTTATGTAATGCTTAATCAAATAGCTTACTATTATGTGAGGTTTTTAATGTGTTATCTACTGTAAATATACATCAATAATTTGTGAAATGTTCTGTTTTTGGTGAAAGTTTCTATGTGTTGTGTAAACAGTTTAAAAGAGTTTAATGATTTATTTTAGCTGATTTGCAAAGTGCTTGGAAATTGTAGTAAAATCAAAAACATAGTATTACCTGACCTTAACAACAGCCAAAATGAAATTAAAGTTTAGCCTTTTCACTTTTTTAATTCTTATTGTGGATGATTTTGCCAGTTATTCTAATTAAAAAATGGTATATGTGATGTATAAAATCAAGTTCTGCCCTACAAATTGAATTTTGAACACTGTTTTATGTTGAACTTCTTATACAAAATTTTACAAAAATGAATGGTAAAATGGCACACAGACTTCTAAAACAGTAGTGAAATGAAGTGAATTGTTTTGACATATTCATTAAAATGAACCATCCAAATGAACCGATTCGCTAAAATGAATTAAACTTCTCAACACTAAATACAGTATGATTCAAAAGTTTGGATACAAGTATCTTATGCTCACCAAGGCTGAATTTATTTGATTAAAAAAAAAATATATAATAATAATAATAATAGTGAAATATTATTAGAATTTAAAATATATTTTTTTAATATTTCAGTATATTTTAAAATATAATTTATTCCTGTGATGCAAAGCTGAATTTTCAGCATCATTACTCCAGTCTTAAGTGTCACATGATCCTTCAGAAATCATTCTAATATGCTGCATTTATTTGGAATAAAAAAGTTTTCATCAATTTAAAGGGTTAGTTCACCCAAAAATGAAAATTGCCCCATGATTTACTCACCTTCAAGCCATCCTAGGTGTATACGACTTTATTCTTTCAGACAAATACAATCTGAGATATATTTAAAAATGTCCTGGCTCTTCCAAGCTTTATAATGTCAGTGAGTAGATGTTATTTTTCAACAGTCCCAAAGAAGTCCAATAAAGCGAATCCATCCATAATAAAAAGTGCCTCACATGGCTCCAGGAGGTTAATAAAGGCCTCCTGTAGCGAATCGATGCGTTTGTGTAAGAAAAATATCCATATTTAAAACATTATAAACAGTCTATAGCTTCCGCTAACTGTCGTACACGCAAGCCGCTCTGAGCGGATGACGAAGGATGTAGACTTGGCGCATGCGCCAGTGAGAAATGACGAACGCGGAAGGATTTGTAAAGAAAAATGTCAGAGGATTTCGATATAAGCCAAGAGGAGACATGGTTTTCCTTTGCTAAAGCATGGAAACTTTGCTTTCTTTGCTCCTGTAAACAAGCGATGGTTCTCGCGAGACTAGCATATTCCCGCTGGAGCTTACGCTACGCATACATTCCTCATCCGCTGGAACGCCACTCTCTCGTGAGCGCGTGTACGACAGTTAGCGGAAGCTAGAGATTACAGTTTCTAAAGTTTTAAATATGGATATTTTTCTTACACAAACACATCGATTTGCTACAGAATCCCTTTAATGCATCATTGCTAAACAAAAGTATTAATTTCTTTCAAATCTTTACCCCAGACCTTTGAGTTGTATATATTTTGAGAATCTATAGCGCTTTACATTTGACTGTATTGTAATCTGATTTTTTACATGAAGTAAAAGCAAAATCTCTTTGAATTGTGTCCACAGTCAATAATGCATTCCAGTTCGCCTGTATCATCCACTGGATCAGCCTGGTCATCCTGTCCGTGTTCTTCACTGAGGTGAGTGTGAATCTGTGGAGGATCTCACTGAAGTATCCTGCTTTTCTTTTTTCTTTCTATTTTTGCTCAAATACATTTCTCGTTAAACATTTCTCATCATTCTTCCAAAACAAAGTTATCTGAGATGTACTTTTTGGAGAAACATCTAAGACTATTGTCAATATTCAAATGAAAGATAACAAAGCTATAAAAGAGCAACGTGTCAGCATTAAAAGTGTGTTTAAAGGTCACAGGCCACTAAAACAACTAAGATGCTGAGTCTGAGACAATCATGATTTACACAGAGCCACCAGGCTTACTAGAAATAGCCTCTTTTACAACTATCGATATAGTAGGTTTCAAATGAATGGTGCCACTACGGGACGTTTGAAGTATTTGATGTAAGGTCTCGTCTGAATGTTTATGCTGTAGGGGTGTCTTAATTGAACCCAAGAAAAAGCAGTTTCACATAGTGCTGTTACTGTACTTTCAAAGTGTGTATGTGTGTGTGTGTGTGTGTGTCCTGACACGTGCTGACTTCTATTGATTCCCATTTCTTCAGATCCAGTTGCATTTGTCTCTGGCTCTTTTAAAGCAGACTTGCATTTATTTCCTTCAACTTGCGTTTTGCTCGTCGATAAAGGCTCAAGAGACGGGAAGGTTTCAGCGTCACATGTTTTAGAGAGCGAAGTAGTGATAGAAAGCGATAAAAAGACTAGCTTGTGCCACCTGAGTCAGCAGTCACTAAAACAGCGTCTCCTTCGAGTGCTTCGATGAGATCTCGCCCGCTAGCGAGTTTATGAATACATATTGCAGGTCACTGATAAATTATGAGCTGCGTTCTGAGACAAGAGGAAAGAAAAAAATGATTCGGCTTGGAAATGGGTTTTGCGGAGGTTATTTCGCCACCAAATGGAGGTGAATTCTGTTGCCGCCACATCTCGATATCACTTAGATTTTGAATTACCCTACGTACACATTTTCCCCGCAAGCTCATTATTTACGTTTGCTGTTCGTGGGTCGCTGGAAAAGTAATGTTTGCCAGGTTTTTTGTTTTTTTTTGCCCAAGGCTTCTCTCTTGCCTTTCACTAAACGCGCTCTGTTGTTTTCTTGTGGATGGTTTCCCAGAATGCAATGTGCTGAAGCATCAGAAATCTGATCAGTGATTTTCATTAATATGCTTCTTTTCTCTTTCTTTCTGTTGGTCTTTCCACTTATATGCTCTCTCTTCCATGTCTCTCTCTTCCTCTCCCAGACTGTCTTTAGGATTGTGGTGCTTGGGATTTGGGATTATATAGAGAACAAAGTTGAGGTAAGCTCCCCGGGGTCCCATTAGTACGGGGGGAAACAGAGTGAAGAGGCGAGCCCTTGAAACTTAATGAAGGATGAGTCTCTATCTGGTGCAGTGACACACTCTCAATGTCACATTGTTGCCTGAGTGGGCCAGGATCCATGCTAACTGCACTGTGATTGGCTGTGTAGTTTTATCGACCACACCCACTCATTAAATAATAAATATTGCATTTTTGTCATGTCTGCCTGATATGAATGTTTTTAAAGAGCATTTACTGATTATTTTAAGGTGCACACACTCTCAAGGAAAAATGTATGTTTTGTAAAAGATAAATAATTCAACATAAGTATCATATATATATATATATATATATATATATTAGGGGTGTAACGATACACGTATTCGTATTGAACCATTCGGTACGAGGCTTTCGGTTCGGTACGCATTACAAACCGAACGATTCGTTGGACTAATCCTATTATATTTGGAAATAGTGAAATATAATGTTCTCAGTGCCACTGCGCTTAACAAGGCAGCCCAAACGATGTAACAGGCAACGTGCTGTCTGCCCCGCGATAACCTCCCCGTGCTGGGTTGCGTCGAAAGACGACGATCTTGTATCGACGATAGCCAGAGATATAGTCAAAAACATCAATTGTTGGCAATATTAAGATATTTGACATTTCTAATTAATGTAGGCCTGTTACATTCTTATTTTTATTAGGCCTATTATTATTAAGTTACTTTTATTATTAAATTAAAATTACAATTAATTTGCCAAATAACTGACGTGCTGCGAGGATAACAAAAGATTAGGCTATATATTTACTCCTCAATTAAAATGTTTTAAAAAATGTATTTTAAAACAGGTCTATACAATGAATTATAGGCCTATGATTAAAATATTAACACTTCAGTCATCAATAAAAATCAATGAAATAAAAAGCTTTTATTTCAAGCACCGACTTTCAAAAACAACCTGTTTAACACGAAATATGTTTCTTCTCATTTTTTTTCACTATGTAATGTTAGAAATATTAAGGGAATAAATAAAAACAGATAGCTATATACTGTTATCAGCATATGTTAAAGTAGATTCGTCTCATCGTCTCTGAGAGAATATGTGGCGTCAGATGCCGAAAGCTCCGTCATTCCGTTTTTACTTTCACTTTCTGTATAGTGAATTGACTGAGATTAAGATGTTTACAGTCATAACCCTTGCTTAAAGTTTGCATGTTGCTTGTGTGTGATATCCATTGGCTCGCCTTCATGGTTTAAAACAGAAATATTTCCAACATTGTGACGTAACCAATTACCCCCGTACCGAACCGAACCGTGACACCACTGTGTCGTATCGAACCGTTACACCCCTTATATATATATATATACACTGCCGTTCAAAAGCTTGGGATTAGTAAGATTTGTAATGTTTTTTAAAGAAGTTTCTTATGCTCATCAAGGCTGCATTTATTTGATCAAAAATATTGACAAAAAAACTGTAATTTTGTGAAATATTATTGCAATTTAAAATAACAGTTTTCTGTTTTAATATACTTTAAAATATAATTTATTCTTGTGGTGGCAAAGCTGAATTTTCATCAGTCATTACTCCTGTCTTCAGTGTCAAGTGATCCTATTTTTTGGGACATGTGATACTTTTTTTCAGGATACTTTGATGAATAAAAAGTTAAAAAACAGTGTTTATTCAAAATAGAAATTTTCTGTTACAATATACACTACCGTTCAAAAGTTTGGGGTCAGTACATTTTGTCTTTGTTTTTTTAAAAAGAAATTAATACTTTTATTCAACAAGGTTGTGTTAAATGGATAAAAAGTGATAGTAAAGACTCATGTTGTTAGAAAAGATTTCTATTTTAAATAAATGCTGTTCTTTTTTACTTTTTATTCATCAAAGAATCAAAGAAAAAGGTATCCAAAAATATTAAGCAGCACAACAGTTTCAACACTGATAATAAATGCAGCATATTAGAATGATTTCTGAAGGATCATGTGGAAGGCTAGAGTAATGAAGAAAATTCAGCGCTGAATCACAGAAATAATTTATGTATTAAAGTATATTAAAGTAGGAAACCAATATTAGAAATTGCAATAATATCTCCCAATATTACTGTTTTTTCTGCATTTTTGATCAAATAAATACAGCCTTGATGAGCATAAGAAACTCCTTTAAAAAACATAAAAAATCTCACTGATCCCAAACGTTTGAATGGCAGTGTACATACAGTATATATATATATATATATATATATATAGGTGATATAGGTGCGCACACACTCAAACATATATTTTGTGTAATAGAAATAATGGATAAAATAATAAATATATTTATCATTTATAATAAATAGTGTGTGTATGTATAGAAAATATTTATTCATGTCCACCAAATAAATAAACAAAAAGGTAATAGGTAATGCAGCTTTTTATTTCACATTTGTTTTTCTGAGGAAAATGGGAGATATAAACACAGAATTTAAATTCTGTGGGTTTTTTTTCTGAATTCTGGGACGGAGAATACAAAATAATGGTAATTGTGACTTTTTATCTTACAATTCTGACTTTTCTCAAAGTTGCAAGTTTATAACTCACAATTTTTTTTCACAAAAAAAAAGTGTTTATATCTTGCGATTTTGAGTTTATATCTTGCAGTTCCGAGGACTGTAATATATAAACTCATTGCAACAGAAAAGTCAGAATTGTGAGATAATTCAGTATTGTGAAATATAAACTGAATTGCAAGGAAAAAGTCAGAAATATGAGGAAAAAGTTGCAATTACTTTTGCATGGATTACTTTTTTTTTCATGGTGTAAACTGGCCTTCATCATTTATTAAATAATACATACATTTTGAATTTATTTCAAATGTATTAAATAAAAGATAGTTAGTATGGTATGTTATTAAGTTGAGTTTCTACATTAGAGCATTCCCAGGTATGTAACAGCCCATAGTATTAAATACACTTTTACATGTTACAAGCTGAAAGACATATGATAGTTTGTTGTTGTTGTTGTTGTTTTTTAATTAGGTATTTGATGGTGCTGTGATTGTACTCTCTCTGGCCCCAATGGTGGCCTCCACGGTGGCTAACGGCCCCAGCAGCCCCTGGGACGCCATCAGCCTCATAATCACCCTCCGCATCTGGAGAGTCAAGAGAATCATTGATGGTAACACACCATTCACACACTCTCCCACACAATCTTTTCTGACACTGTCTTTTTAAAAAATTATATATATATATTAATATTTATTTCAGTTTTAAACACAATAAAAATGAACATTCTTTCCTTATTAACTTGTTGCAATAAGAAGTAACTTTATTTTTATATATATATATATATATATATATATATATATATATATATAAGTTGTTACTCAAAAAAAGTAATCCACTACAAATTACTAATTACTTATTCAAAATTGTAATTTGATTACTGATTACTGCATTTAAAAAGTAATCAGATTACTAATTACTTTACTTTTAAGTTACTTTCAAGTTTACTTCACTTTTCAAGTTATCAAACCTAAAAAATACACTACAAAGTGAAACTCATAGTTCTTTCATTAATTTATTTTGACAGAAAAATTACATAAGTATTATTTGTATACACGCAATATCAACAAAACGTTTTTGTTTTTGTAAAATAAACAAATAGGGTGCGCTTTCTGCATTCTCAGTCTCCGCGAATATCTTCTTTAAACGAGTCACTAAAATGAACGAAAATGACATGAGAAATATATCCAAAGAAAGCTTGAAGAGTCTATTTTTAAATGAAGTCATGTCGAAAACAAATATTCTCTGATAAAATAATTCGTATGAAACCAACACGAGGTACAGTCTTTCCCGTCTGAGCTCACCTATAATGTGGTCACATCGCGCGCTATAAGATGATCGTCCACGCGAAACCAGGCTTGAGACGCACTAACATGTTAACGTCCACTTCACCTCCGTAAACAAAGAAAGATTCAAGTTCATCTCGGCTAATTTTAGTTTTTGGAAGAAGACGCGCTGTGAGGAATAAGCCTCGAATTTACCTCAGAAAAAGAATGCGATGCAACGCGGCTTAATCCAGCGGAGGATCTCATTCTAATGAGTCATTTATTTTTACTTATATTAGTGTTACTGTGACATAAACTTGTACACATTCACTTGTTGAACTTTTCCCAAACTATAATGCCAGACTAAAATATGTAAAATCGAATGCAACATTTTGAAATATGATAGGCAACCTTTCATTGCATCTAGTTGTAGGACTCATCAGCATTTTAGCTCGCATTCTCCGTGATTTATTAAAGGGCATACTGACGCGCAAAACATGATACACTGCATTTGTAACTTAAGTAACCTCATTTTATTGACATTAGTAACTGTAATCAAATTACATAAATTTAAAATGTAACGCATTACATTACTGCGTTACCAGGAAAAGTAATTCGAATACAGTAACGCATTATACGCAACTCTGTACATATAATATATATATATATATATATATATATATATTTGTTTTATTTATTTATTTATTTACTACGTGTAAATATATTTGACCTTTAAACACTTAAAGACAGTGCTAATGTAAAAGCATTAGCTAATTCAGCTGATTAATTTTATTAGCTGTTGTCCTGTCCGGCCCAATGAGTGTGAGTTATGATAGACGTCTCACACGCGCTGCTGCTGCCAGCGTTGGTCTTATTAAAATTCAAATTGATTCAGAGTCTTTTGTCTGTGCAGAGAGGAGCATAATGTCCATAATGTCTCAGCACAGGTTCTGTTTATGCAAGTGTATTCGTGGTCGATGGCTGGGGCAGGTCACCCTCATTCTCATTAAACATCATTGAGCTGTTGAGCACAGCGCCGTCAGACACACTTACATGGAACACTGCCGATGACAACAAACAACTGTCCCAGTGCTGAGATCCAATAGCGCATCACAGAACCAGCTCTGAGTTTAATATAAAAGTCATAATAAATAAAATACATCAATGCAAGCAGTGTTGTTATTGATAAATAAAACTGTTAAAAATCGTTTTTGGTCATTAAAATAAAGCTGAAATAATATACAATACAATGAAAATTAGAAATGTTGCTTCGGAAACTAACTACTAAAGTACTAGAATTACTTAAACTGAAATAAAATGAAGCTATATAAAAATGTAATAAATAAATAGATAGAAAAAAAAATCATAAATAATAAAGCTTGACCAAAAAAAACATTTGACAAAAGCACGTAAGATTTACTAAAACTTAAACTAAAATTAAAACTGAAAATATAAAAATGGATACTCTGGATACAAGAATTTAAAATATTGATGCAATAGCATGATATACCAAAACAGTTGTTTTAGACTAAGCTGCAAAAATAATCATGAGTATGCAGCACAGCCAATCATGAAAGAGGTAATTAACATATATAAATTTTAAAGGTACAGTAGTAAACTACTTTAAGTTAAAGCTTGAACTATTTAGTGACATTTTAATTGCAATTAATAGTTTTATATTCTTTTTTATCATTTAAAAATACTTTTAAATTATATTAATTTAAATATAAATTTTAAATCCATTTTGTCTATGCTTAATATGAATCTAAAGTGCTTGCGTGCCATCTTCTGTGCCTTTTCTATTAAAATCTACATTTATATTGCTTTGTGCTTGCGTTTTTGTCTATTCTGCATGTCCGTTTGCATATATATCTTATCTTTCCCCTCTCCGTCGTGGTTTATTATGTGCAAGCTGTAAGAATTGTGTATGTTTTCATGTGTGTGTTCATACGCCTCAAGATTTGAATTTGAGAGAGTGCACAGTCGGCAAAAAAACTAAAAACAGCTGAATACGGTCATTACACTTTACACAGTGTTTGATACGGCAGTAGAATGCTGAAGTTATATAATCTGAACCCTGAGAAATGAAGGAGAAATGAAAGCTGATATTTGACACAGACACGCTGACCAATTAACATTCATGAGCTCAAGTCTCACTGCGAGTCTGATCCAGTTCTACGCCACCCTGTGGTTGTACCATGATGTACACACAGCAGGACGTAAAAGCACCATGCCATGCTGAACTTTTGAAAAGACACCAGCGCATGGTTAGATTTACTGAGGGTTAGTTGCTGAGATATGCTTTATTTTATTTTATTATTTTAATTGTATATATAATTTTATAGTAGTTAGCCATTTTTATTTATTTTTATTTTTTTTCAATTCCTAAGGAATTTTAGGAACTCAATTAAGTCTCCTGAGCTATAAAATAGCAGACTTCTGAACATTAACATTTACCTCAGTTTTAGAGAGATTGTGCATATTAAATCCCACTCATTTTTTATTTAAATAAATGTAACTATATCTAAAAATATTTATTTAAAATAATATATCACAATCCTGAAACTGAATGTACGGAGAATGCTGTGGTACTGAGTAACACATTGCAACGCAGCAAAGCATGCTGGGAGTTCTGTCGGCAGATGGTACCAGTGTGAGAAGAGTCTAATTGATATGGAGAGCGAGTGGATGATAAGAGGGGTCCATGTGGCTATGGCTTTATTAAGAGCCAACAGCAGAGAGCAGAGCAGCACAATCCCAGCCCAGTCTGAGAAATCAACCTCACACGACGCTCATGTCAGTTCATGGAATAGGAGGCAAAAATTGGCTCTCCGCTTAGGCGTGGATGGAGGTGATGTTAGCATTTGGCGGCTTTGAATGTTTGCAGAAAACAATTAGCAGTTTATCAAAGCTACCCATTGTGTGTTAAACCTGTTAACATTTGATCAGCTGTTTTACAGTATTTTTATTTAAATGTATTCTGTGTGGTCTTTTCAAATAAATGCATTCTGTTCAAATAATTGGATAATATTATTTGAATTTAAATATTATATTATGATAATATTTTATTTATTTATTTATATATACATAAATAATATAAATAGAATATTGTATTGTTTTATTTGAATTCAACATATAATTCAACCAGATTAAAAACTGTCTCACTTTTATGGGTAATTTTTAGATTTTTTTTATCATGGGCAATGATGATATCAGAATGTTATACAGTACCATGGTATTGAAAATTAAAATTAATTTACCATTGTATTTGGATTGTACTCTGAGTTACTTCCCAGAATACAAGATACAGTGATACTTTTTGATATTTGTAATATCTGTGGTACTTACTTTGCACAAAAGAAATGACTGATTAAAAGCTAGCCTATTCATTTATTTTGAAAGAGAAAAACTTAACACGTTTATTTAGCAATGACAATTTAAATTGTGAAATTAAAGACAGATAAAAGAAAAAAAATAAGACTGAAAAAATTATATTTCCAAAGAAAAAAAAATCTTTTGAATTTTCTCTTCATCAAAAAATGTCATGGTTTCTAGAAAAATATGAAGCAGCACAACTGTTTTCAACACTAATAATAATAATACATTTCTTGAGCATCAAATCAGCATATTAGAATGATTTCTGAAGGATCATGTGACACTGAAGACTGGAGTAATGATGCTGAAAATCCAGCTTTGATCAGAGGAATAAAATACATTTTAAAATATATAGAAAACAGTTATTTTAAGTTCTAATAATATTTCACTGTAATATTACTGTTTTTACTTCATATTAAATAAATGCTGCTTTGTTGAGCATGAGAGATTTCTTTTAAAAACAAAAACTTGCCAACCCCAAACTTTGCTCAAAAAGCATGCGAGTATTTGAGAGGATCAACCAAAAAGAAAAAATTGTCCTTTACTCTGCTGTTTTGTTTCTCTTTTGTAGCGTACATGCTGCAGGTGAAGGTGGAGATGGAGCTGGAGATCCAGCAGTATGAGAAGACCAAAGCTGTGAGGGAGGAACAGCTGGAGAGACTCACACAGATCTGTCAGGAACAGGCCGTGAGTGATGAACTAACCCTGCACTCCTCTCACACATTTACATCACCAAAATATAACAAAAAGTACATATCTCGTGCCAGTGACACTCACCTAGACAGTAGCTTTATAATAACTCACGAGTGTAAGTTGTGCTTTAAAGGAATAGTTCACCCAAAAATAAAAATGTATTCACCCTCAGGTCATCCAAGATGTAGATGAGTTCATTTCTTCATCAAGCGCTCGCGGAAAGCGCTTGAGAAACAGTGTCTCTTCCGTGGCTCGGTATGCTTTCAACTCATTTTTTTTAGTCTCGAGCAAGAGACTGTACAACATTCACGTTACATGATTTGACTGATTTTTACATAGAAAGGGCGACAGCGCACCGCATTAAAAGAAATGATCATTCATGTTTTCATAACCGCTGACCAAATTCAAAAACAAAACTTAATAAATTTAATCATCTTTGAGAGCAAGGGGGCCCCCTGGTGTTTCGGGGGCCCTACGCAGCTTGCGTATAGGGAGGATCGGCTTTGCTCTGCAGTGAATGGGTGCCGTCAGAGTCCAAACAGCTGATAAAAACATCACAATAATCCACAAGTAATCCACACCACTCCAGTCCATCAATTAACGTCTTGTGAAGTGAAAAGGTGTGTGTTCGTAACAAACAAATCCATCATTAACACATTTTTAATTACAAACAAGTTCTCTATCCTTAATATTGTTTCTCCAGTGAAAAAGTGAATCTTGTCTGAATCAGGAAATATGCACAGATCAAGCATCATTTACAAGCAAAAACAGTTCTAAACAAATATGTTGTGGATTCTGATGTGAGAAGACAATAGGAGATGGACATTTTCACTGGAGGATACGAAATTGTTGATTAAGGACTGGTTTGCTGTGGTTCGGATTAGAACTGTTTTAATGAAAACAGTTGATTTTGCTTCTTACAAACATGCAGCTTTTCACTTCACAAGACGTCGTCTTGAAATTATGGACTGGAGTGGTGTGGATTATTGTGATGTTTTTATCAGCTGTTTGGACTCCCATTCTGACGGCACCCATTCACTGCAGAGGATCCACTGGTGAGCAAGTGATGCAATGCTAAATATTACCAAATCTGTTCAAATGAAGAAACAAACTCATTTACATCTTGGGTCACCTGAGGGTAAATGTTCAGCCAATTTTAATTTTTGGGTGAACTATTCTGTTATAACATCTTTATTTATTATTTTGTCCCCTCTCCAAACATTTTTCCATAATTCCATCATCATGTTGCACTGTGTATTTCTCCAGCAGAGGGCAGCACTCTGACACACAATCAAATTTCACTTCAATTCATCTGCTCAGTAACACAGCGCCTGTAATCGCCTATAAATGTTTTTTTGTTTTTTTTTATTGATCAGATTGTATCAGTTATTAACATTTTATTACAATTTTACCACTTTAGAGTCACCTGAAAAGGTGATTTTAAACAATCTTTTTTTTTTTTGTCTGTTAAGAATGTTATGCCACTCGTATCCTCAGATTCTGCTGTGTGTGAATTGTGTCTCAACAGCACAATTTATCCTGAATATCCCCCATATTTTTAACCGCACCAAGCTCATGCTTCTTTTCTGATTGGGTCTCGGCGGATGATGCAAACTCGCGTTTCAAGCTGCAATCCAACCCAGTGTATTACATAAAACAGTCACGTGACCCGTCCAGACTGTCCTGGGCCCAGCAGACAGATAACAGACAGGGATCAATGCACGCCACTGAAATACACAATTCACCCTAGATGTGTTTCTGTTGTTCTTCTCCTTCGGGAAGAAGACAGATAAGACTGATAGAAATGTCTTGTTGGGAGCTGATCTGAGAGCTGTCGATATCAGCGCAGCGGCCCTGAAAACAGTAGAGCTCATTGATTATGTCGAGTGTGTGGACATTGATTCAACAAATAAAGCATATTGGTTAGAGTTACAATGTTGCAAGGAGATCCATTTCAGTGTGTTTATGATATAAATTATAGATAATGATTTGTAATACTGCCAGTAATCAATATGTTTGATAAATTAAATGGCTATAACTTTAATCAAAATTATACTTATAATAGCTATAATTATACTTTATAATTTATGAGCTATAATCTTCTTAGATTGTGGGGTTTTCCAAAATGGTTACTCCTAAAATTTAGATAGCAAGGTAACAAATAAACAATTAAATTAATCTGGAGTTTATAATCTAATTTAAACAAACAAAAACAACAAAAGACATTAGAAATAAAAGATTCTACACTATTTGTAGATCACTAATCAAATAAGCTAAATTTTGCCTTTGAATAAAAGGTTAGATCTCCTTGTTTACGTTGAAATCAAGCTGATTTTAGTCATATTATTATTTTGTAATATGAATAAAATCTGTTAATTAAGACTTTCAATTTAGTGGAGTTTCTTGACTAAACATATTTTACTTTTACATTATCCCCCGGTTTCACAGACAAGGCTTAAGCCTAGCTGAAATCTGAGCTGTTTCAACTGAAAGAAACTTGCACTGACTGATCTTAAAACATGTCAGTGCCTTTGTTTTTGTCTTAAGATGCCAGCCAGTAATGCTTTTTTTCTAAGGCATGTTTATAAAAATTACTTAAATGTCCTAATTGAACTATGGCCTAATCCTGGTTTAGTCTAAACCCTGTCTATGAAACCGGGCCTACTGTATATGTACCAGCTTATAATGACAGCAAATTAAATTACTAAAATAAAAATATTCAAAAATGTACTGTTTATATATTCAGATATTATATATATATATATATATGTATATATATACAGCTCCCACTTTAACAGCACTGCAACTGCTGCAGAGGAATCAGTGCAGTCAGTAAATCAGTCTCGGTCTGTCTTCTTGTCTTGGGCAGTTTGAGATCAGGCAGTTGAGGGCTCACCTGGCGCAGCAGGATTTGGATCTGGCCGCTGAGCGTGAGGCCGCCATGCAGATCCACCATGTGTGGGGCAAACAGAGCAGCAGCTTCCAGGAAATAGACGGCCTGGGACCCGCTGGATCTGACAACGAGTGCCGCGCCAACACCAGAGAGCCCAGACCTCCTCCAGGTACCCAGACCTGTCCTATCTCTAACCAGCCCAGATCTATCTATCTATCTATCTGTCTATCTGTCTATCATTCTGAAGGTTAAAATTAATACTTACATTCAGCAAGGATGCATTAAATTGACCAAATGTGAGCGTAAAGATGTTTACACTGTTACAAAGTATTTATATTAGTTCTTTTGAACTTTTATTCATCAAAAATCATGAAAATCAGTGTGGATTCCACAAAAAATATTAAGCAGCACAACTGTTTTCAACATTGATTATAAAAAATAAATGTTTCTTGAGCTGAAAATCATTATATTAGAATGATTTCTGAAGGATCATGTGACACTGGAGACTGGAGACTAATGGTGCTGGAGACTAATGATACTGAAAATTCAGCTTTGACAAGAAAAAAAATTACATTTTAAAATATATTCAAATAGAAAAGTTATTTAAAATTGTAGTAATATTTTTATAATATGTAAAAAAAAAAGTTACAATATAAAAGTTTTTGCTGTATTTCTGGACAAATAAATGTATCCTTGGTGAGCAAAAGAGACTTTATTCAAAATATAAATATTTTTAAAAATCTTACCAACCCCAAACTTTTGAACATGATATATGTTGTATATATATGTGTGTGTGTGTGTGTGTGAAGAGTTCAGATGCAAAAGCCTCTAAGTGGCATTAGAAATGTTTTTCTAAAATGAGCATTTTTCTCATGCTCCTATGTTTATGTTCAGTTATTTCACTTTAATGCAATGAAAAGAACCTATTCATTGCCATTAAAGTGAAATTACTGAACCTAATTATTATAAATATATATTTTTTTAAATAGAACCAGTCCCACACAGTCATATATTGTAAATTGTGAATAAATTACATTATTTTTATTTAATTTTTTTAATTTTTAACTTTTAATATTTTAATATTTAATATTTTAATTTAATAAATATATAGTTCATATAAAATATAACTATTTTTTATTGTATTTGTGGACAAATAAATGTATCCTTGGTGAACAGACTTTATTCAATATATATATATATTTTTTTTTTTATCTTACCAACACCAAACTTCTGAACATTATATATATATATATATATATATATATATACATACACACACAATATTCATTCAATGGCTACAGTTCAGTGATTCAGAGGTACCTGCTTCTCCTCCGAGCCTTAAATCAGCCCAGCCTCTGAACACAAACAACATCCCTTCAGTATTTACTGTGACAGTACAAGCAGGACAGATCGTATGATATCCCATTATAACAGACCGCTATAATGTTCCCCACATGTCAGGTCACATTGGGATCTGTCTGGCAGCAGTACAGCTGTTACACACACAGGCTGCTCTGTGCATTGGGTCTTGTTCCTCCTGAAAGAGTATTCAACTATGGCACAAACATCTGTTCCTTTAACCTGAAAACCCCCACAATGGTCCTCATGCAAGCCACACTTCATCCCCCAGAGGATTGTGGGAAATGTGGGCACCAGGAGCCAGCCCGTGGCTTTTTCCTCTAAATGACACGTGGACAGAAATGCTGTCAAAGCGCAGGCCAACCCCTGGAGACAGAAGAGCGGAGGAGAGGAGACAGAGTGATGGTTGCCCGAGGGCTCGTATCTTAGCGGCCATATTTTATATTTGGCGCCTCAAAGACATATAACACAGGAGTTAGATGTGTTTAAGCACCGAAGACAAAGACGCAGAAAATATAAGAGCTGCGCAGTATATTCTGAGTGATCTGTTTTTATAGAGCTGCTTTTTGAAGTTGAGGCCGCTACCTGTCAGAGTTCAGCGAGAGCGAGGTCTCTTTTATCTCCGCTGTGGTTCGTTTGAGAATTGACTGCGTCTAGCCGAGTGACCACACAGAGATACTGCGTGACACGATCATGTTGAATCATCGCTCTCAGTGTCTGCTTAGTTTCAGAAACCGGATTCCGGAAATACTGGATGGAAACGCCAAAGATAACTAGTTCATAAAATGATTACGTTTTGACAGTGTAAAATTCAAAGGCAGCAGAACAGAGCTGAATGATGTTTCGTTAAAAAAATAAATGTGACATTTTAGAATGAGGAAAAAATGCCAGTGAGGTTAGAAAAATAAACTTTTCTATGAAAACATTTTGCTTCCCACTTAAATGTATCTTGTTTTAAGGATGTTTGGCTTTTAACCAGAAAACAAGGCACAAATAATTATTTTTTCTCAGTGCAAGACATTAGGATAGACTTCAGAGCTCACATATGTATTCTAGTTATCATCTTTGTGTGGCATATTACATGTCAAAACTTCACCCTAAACAATACCAACTATACAATTTTACCAAAATGCTTACAATTGCAAATTTTGGAAAGTACAATTTATTTTTTGAGAAATGTAGTTTTACTCTCTTTCCCTGAGAGAAGTAAAAACGTGTACTCGTCTTCATCCTCATGTGTTATTTATATTCGGCTGTGATTGTCTTCCTGGTGTTTTAGTCGGCTGCCCATCTCCTCCCGAGCCTCCGTTTGATGAATATTTCAAACAGTAAAAATGAATTTAAAAAGGCGCAGTGAGTTGGGTCTCATCTCCAGAGATGTGCGGATGGCACTTAGAGTGCAGTCGACTCCTCGCTCTGCCAGGCAGATCATAAGACCTTCTACCCAGCCGATGACCTCTTTTTGGGTCAGGAGGCCAAGCAGCAGATAAGGGTGGCCAAAATCAGAACGTTAATGCATTGCTTACACTGTAGCACGCTTCACTACATAGTGATTCATAAACGTTCTCCTATTATAAAGCAGTGAAATGAGAAAAATGATCCGAAAACCTTTTACATTTCAAATGTATTTATTTTTACAGGGAAAAAATGATGTTTCTATGTTTTTTGGTTTTGGGTCGTTAAATCACAATGTTGTGATTGACATTCATTTGTTTTGTTTTCTTCAGAGAGTGTCGTTCAGGATGATATGAATAACTACATCAGTCAGTATTACAGTGAGCCAAGTAGCGGTAAGTTTTTTTTTTTTGCTTATTTATTTATTTAGATTGAGCTATGCTTATGATATTTGCATATTTATTGCCAAATGTATCCTTTAGATACACTGCAAACAATTGCTTACATGCATTGGATACATACATCCAAAATATTAGTTGACTGATACAAGTTTTTCATCGGCTGATGCCAATATTTAGATAGCAAGGTGGATCATGGGACATAAAATGTTGGTATATACAGTATATGTAATATATGTGCATAGTGAAGTATGCAAGTATATCATAAAAAAAATATGCAAATGAGATGTAAAAAAATTAAATTAAACATTTGTGCAATATTTACGTGAAATCAGTTATTGTAGTATGATTAAGATACTATTATAATTTTGTATTAATATTTTAAATCAGTTTTTATTTTAATATTTTCTGTTTTCATTTTCGTTTTAGTCAGTTTTAGTAATTTTGTTGTTCATCATTTTTTGTTGTTTTTTTATGTGTATATATAGCTTTATTATTTTTTTTATTTCACTTTTAGTTATCAAGTTAAACTAAATTAATATGAGAAATGTTGACTTGGCAACTAGCTGAAATACATGTTTTATTTCATTTAATTTTAAGATTATTTTTTGCTTTAAATTTAGTTTTAGTTATCTATAATAACCCTGCTTGAAATTCCCTCAAATATTCCATAACATCCATCGACAAGGCAGTCTGAAGATTACACCCCATTGTTCAATCAAGTATGGTAATCATTTGATCTCAAAATGTCAAAAGGTCTGGCTAATGTATCAGTTGACCACTGGCACTGATGCTTAAATATTTAGGATGGCACTCATTCACTAAGTTATACTATCTGTTATACACACAGACATCGGGGTGCCCGACCCTGGTGCACGTGTCATAACCACAGCAGACATCGATGTCCACCTTCCTACCAACCCCAACCAGTTGCCGCCTTCCCTCGTCAGTGCTGACGGCCCAGGCAGTGGCCAGGAGCGCACGGGCAGCTCTGTAAGTGAAGCGTCCAGCATGACCATGTCCCGGTCCAGCTGCAGCTTCACAGCCCGGCAGCACAGCATCAGCAGCCACACGCTGGGCTCCACAACTGACTGCAGTTCTACCGTACGGGAGGCCTCCACCTCCGACTACAGCGGCCAACGCTGCTGCCCTCCTCCGTACTGCAGCCCTTTGACCCTCGGCACACAACCGGGTGTCCACGACCCCAGCGCGGTGGTCAAAGAGCTGCTCTATTCCCTGTCTGAGGACTCCTGCCTGGCGCAAAAAGGCAGGGTGGACCCAGTCAACCTTAAATTGCCCAGTCCGGCAGGGTCAGTGAAGGCCAGTCCAGAACTGGAGCACAGGGTGAACATATACAACAAGAGAAACCAGGAAAGTCTGAGCGTATTCCAGACCAAGCCACTAATTCACCTGCAGGGGACTGAGCCATCTCTGGAGGAGAAGTACAGGCTTATGGAGCCGGCAGATACTCCACTGAGCCATATACCGGACACATAGAGCATGAAGTTTGGGACGGTGACCACCAACACCAGCTGAAGCAGCCTCTCTCTATATAGCTTACTCACTGGCTGTGTCGGAAACATGAAAAATTATGCCTTCGCTGACAGTATCCCAAGGTAGGAAGACATCAAGGCATATCCGAGTCTAGTGACTAGCCAAGTAGTTTCAGAGGCAGTGTAAATGGCTCTATGCCAGCACTGCTTCTGGTGAGCCACCTTCCTGCAGAGTTCAGGTCAAAATCTGCTCCAACACACCTTCCCGTAGTTTTTAAGTTATCCAGAACATCTTGGTTGGTTGGTTCAGGTGTGTTTGATAAGGGTTGTAGCTAAATTCTATTTGAAGGTAACTCTCCAAAAGCAGGGTTAGCTACCCCTGCTTCTTTTTGCAAGATTAATAGGAGTTGCCTTGTCACAAATTCTAGGCCAGGGGTGGCCATTGTCGGTCCTGGAGAGCCACAATCCTGCAGAGTTCAGCTCCAACCCTAATCAAACACACCTGAAGAAGCTAATCAAGGACTAAGGGTTACTAGAAAGCTACAGGCAGGTGTTTTTATCAAGATTGGAGCAAAACTCTGAAGGGATGCAGGTCTCCAGGACTGACGTTGGCCACCCCTGTTCTAGGCAAAAGTCATAAAGTTGTATTCCAGCCTTAAGTTTCTGTCAGACTCTGCAGGATGGTGGCTGTAAACGAGCTGGATTGGACAACCCATTAACCATTTCAGATGGCCATTGTGATATTTACACCAGTGTTTCCTCAACCATGATCTTGAAAGTACAACAATAGACATTTTTTAACTCCTCCTAATCAAACACACCAACTCATCAGCTCCTTAATAGAGACAACAACACCTGAAGTAGATCAGTCAGGTTAAGACATCCAAAATGTGTACTGTTGGTGTGCATCCAACGCGTCTACTAGCAGCATAACTAGTTCACTATTTGGTGTGCCCCTACTACTGAAATGCCTCCATTTGGTTGATACATTGGACATATCATTCCTCGTCTATGATATCCCAACAACTGGTTCAGTGGTTACTTGAAAAGTGACTGATGGATCAGTTAAAAGAAGTAATTTATAAATATTTACAAAGAAATAGGTGGGAATCGGTCAGATCTGAGGATATAGGGTTTTTGAAGCCTGTCTAAAACCTTAGGGCACGGTTCCTCAAATCCGGCCATGGAGGGACATTTCCCTCCAGACTTTAACTCCAACTCTTTTTTTTAAAGGGTTCATGTGATGTTGCTAAAAAGAATATTATTTTGTGTATTTGGTGTAATGAAATGTGTTTATGCGGTTTAAGGTTTAAAAAAACATTATTTTCCACATACTGTACATTATTGTTTCTCCTCTATGCCCCGCCTTTCTGAAACACGACGATTTTTACAAAGCTCATCGTTCTGAAAAGCGAGGTGTACTCTGATTGGCCAGCTATCCAGTGCGTTGTGATTGGCCGAATACCTCAAGCGTGTGACGGAAATGTTACGCCTCTTACCATTATTGTGATGCCGTCAGGCCGGAGCAACTAGACAAAAACATTAAAACCCATTATAAACGAGGCATTTGTTGCATCCAGTGGGGACATAATTATGGATTATAATGACTAAGGAAAAATTGAAATCGCATCATATGAACCCTTTAAGATTTATTTTTGGTGTTTTTGCCTTTTTATTAGGATAGGACAGTATTTAAGACAGGAAGCTAAGTGGGAGAGAGAGGGGGACGGGATCGGGAAAGGTCTGTGTGCCGGGACTCAAACTCAGGACACCTGAAGCGCAAAGGCACTATATGTCAGCGCACTGCCCACAAGGCTAAAAAATTACTAGTAGTTGAGTTTGATCAGGGTTTGAGCTAAACTCTTCAAGGCAGTAGCACTCCAGGTACAGATTTGAGGAACCTGCCTTAAGGGGTACCTTCATCCAAAAACTTTGAGTGATTGGGCAGCAATTTCTTGTTTCGGACACAGCCAATCTGTCTTTCTTTTTCTGTGTCAAACAGCACTATGATACTCTCTCCCAGGTTTCATGTTCTCAGAAAGGGGCACAGGAAGTGACATGAGGATAATGCTCTCTGCTACCCGCCTCATGCAACGTTCCTCCTTACAGATGCACATTTCTCTTTCTCTCTCTCACTCCAACTCTGCAAGAGCACTTGAACTGTGTCACTCCTGACAAAATTGCACAACCTTCCAAGGAGTCAGGGAGAGGTACTTTGGGAGCCATCATTGGAAGATCCTTCAGGAATTTCAGTGTGTCTGTTGGGCGAGTGGTGTATGAAACCAGCAAAAACACACTCTTTTAGACGGTAGACCAATATTGGAGTGTGGCTGGAAGACTTATCACGTGTTCTCATTCAGGGTGGCGTGGGAGGGAGTTTTTAATTTGTCGATTTATTTGTACGAAATGTAACTGACACACAGTGTCCAGTCCTTTTCCCCCAAAGCTGCAGGGTTACATTTGATCCGTGTTCAAATGTGTCAAGCTGTGTGATTCAGCCAAATTTCTTACCTTTGCCTTTCTTACATTACTGATGCTGATGTTTGTATTCAAATTCTATGCGAGAAAAAAAGTGCTAAACTCAAGTATTTTTAAAACACGGAGAGCAAACGATAGGCGAACATATCAGGTATACAGTATTAAGAAGATTTTTATGAGAAATTATGGTTAGAATGTTGTCATAACCCTAAACCTTAACCCCCATCCCAATAGCATGAGCCTTTGAAAAGATCTATCTGCTTTCTGACTGAGGCAAATTAATCCTGTGTTATCGACAAGGGATTTTATAAACCGATAATGGAAGAGAATGTCAAGCAATTAAAAGTTGGTCAATTCAAACTTCGTGTCATTTTTTTAGTGTCAGGTTTGTTGTAGTAGTAAGGATGTGTATGCTAATACAATATTATTTGTTCTGTTTTCTAGTATGCAGAATGCCAAAATATGCAGCATAATGGTCATGTGAGTGAGTAATAAAACCAAAGCACAAGTACAAGCAGAAATATGTTTATTGGATCACTTCAGTGAACATCCAGGGCCAGACAGCTACCTTATTAAAATACAACAAACAGCAAGTTACTTCCACAAATAGAAGACAATATGTAAAGACCACCATAAAGACAGCCATCTACAACTGCTGGATAAATGAGCTCTACTCCACTGAGGTCAGTATACAGCAGGGGTGTCCAATCCTGCTTCTGGAGGGCCAACGTCCTGCATAATTTAGCTCTTGACACACCAGCCTGGATGTTTCTAGTGATCCTGAAGATCCTTATTAGCTGGCTCAGGTGCGTTTAATTAGGTTTGGCGCTGAACTCCGCAGGACAGTGGGTATCCAGGAGCAGACTTGGACAACCCTGAATTAGCCAAAGACTGCCATAACAATTATGTTACCCAACTTCGAAAAACAGAAAACCTCCGGCCATTGTGTCACTTAATTCTTTTATTAAAAGAAGTGGTTTAATGTTTACATTAGCTATTGTAAGTACACAGTGTTCTGGAGAAAAATCACATTCAGGAAGTGAGCATCAGTGGAGCGTTGTCTCTGAGCTTCTTAAGGCAGGATCCTAGTGAAGTTCTCCAGGTGAGTACCAGCTTCCTGAGGAGTATCACTTTTTCAAGGCTTCGGTCAACTCCGGTACAACCTAGAAATGGATACATTGATACATAAACTGGCCCAACGCTTTCAACACCCTGGCCCTGTTTACACCTGATATTAAGATGCGTTTTTGATCCAATGCCAAGTGGACAAAGCTACATACAGGTGTAAACAGGATCTGAAACTTTTTGAGCGAGTCCACTTTTGACCACATCCAGAGGTAGTCTATGCGCCTGTTTACACCTGGTCACTTAATGCGTTTTCTCTGATTGGATAGCTATCTGATTTGTTAAAACGGTTTCATTTACACTTGGCAACATAAATGTGTCTCCGCAAAACGGATGTAATCCCGATCTTCAATTCTCACGCTTTATGCAAATTTAACAAATTTAATTGAGTTCACGTCGACGAAAGCAACAGATATGCACTGCATTTTATTCATCCTCAGCTAATTTCAAAATCAAAGTCCGCAACCGGAGAGAACGTGTCATCAGCACTGGAAAGAAATTTTAGGCTTACTACGTTTAATGAAGATGATTGCATGTTGAACGTCTGCGACTTACTTTCGGTTTCATTTGTGGCAGTTTGCGCATCGGTTTGCTGAAGAGATACTCATCCACGGCGATGCGTGTTGCATTAGCATTGTCATATCGGTCTATAACATGTTGTTTGGCCTACAACTAGCTCTTACACGTTTATCATTTTAACATTTTGCGAAGAGTAAAATTTACATATGTAGTTTCATCAACCAGATGCATTTACACTTCTCCAGTTTCATCTGGAATGAGTCCCAGACCACCTCCAGTAGTTTGAGTGATCAGATTTAAATCTGTTTTGAAAGCATTTCGGAGGGCATTTACACCTGGTCTTTTCATGATCAACAGCATTCCTATTAAAGATAATGCATGAAGTGACCAGGTGTAAACAGGCCCTAAAACGCATTCGACTGGATTACTTGTGTAAATGCGTTCAAACATCCACTAAAGACCGTCTCCTCTCTGCCTGCTGACTGAATTCTTAAACATGACGGGACACGTCGTTGAAGCATGTAAGCCAGCTTTGCCGTCTGAAATCGTAGGTTCACTTTTAAGGCGAAAAATGTAAAAAGCACAATATTCTCTTAGCAGTCCTGATTCTAACCAGCCCACAGTGTTTGGCGTAGTCTTGGGCCTATCAGAACATAAACTAAAGCTGCTGCTCGGCTCCATTTTCTGTTGTCTCATTTTGCATTCCCATATAAATTGCGCAAGCTTATTTCACAATATTAGATTGAAAGATCAGAAAACCCATATATATACCCGCCCATAGACCCTCCCTTCAAAGAAATCAGGACAGAAGTGGTCAAAAGTGGACAAACACCAGGTGTAAATGGGAATGTGTCTCCCACATCTACTTGTGATACGATTGACCAAAACCAAGTGTAAACAGGGTCCCTTAAAGCAGAACCCATTTATATTCGTCAAACTGTTCTCCACTGTTTAAGCACCCTAGGCACAATGGTGGTCATTTCAGAACATCCTGAACTTTTCCTATACGTCGAGTTTCTCATCCAAAACCGAGGTGCTCCCGTATTCCAGAGCGCCCTGAAAAACTATATCATCACCCCAATATGTCCCCGGCTCACTTTTCAATCTAAGGAAGGAGGAGAAAGCCCATACATTTTAATCAGTTATCTGAGGAGTGATCATGTGTAAGCTGATCTGAGCCGCCCCTGCTCGCCAGCACTGCCCATCGTCAGCAATCACTTTTACACAGTTTACCTGCACACCTGTGTCTAGCACGCACTGCCTGAATAAAAGATGACCGACAGGGCAAATAAACGATGCTAGCGTTACACAAGGTAAACAGCAACAATGGATGGACGTGTTGTGTGTGTGTGGCAGCCCTCTGGCACCGTGAGCACGTGTGCCACCTTGAACTATGGCGCGCAGCCGGGCGTGTAAAGCTCTGGTGAGAGGAGACAGAAAATAAAGGTGAAAAACTACACCCGCACACTTGTGCCGACTATCAATTACTTTTCTGCTCCGAAAGAAGGAGAAGTTGTGTATAAGGCTTCTGGTTAGAGCCACGAGTCGCCACTGATTAATTCAGCAACTCAATAATTCAGAAGTTGCACACTCTCCATTAGGTGGAATAATGCTCCCTGCAAAATTTAGAAGGGAAATATGGGACAGCTTTTTTGAGTCGCCCTGGTTTTGGTTGTAGGTGGGGTTTGGCTGAAGAAATTAATACCGGGTCATTTGACATTTACAACGCTATTAATAATAAACTTGAATGGTACTGCTGATTGTCTGAGGCACTGGATTAAAATGTCTCTGATGACCTGACGAGGATCTTTTGTGCAAATGAGATCGTGTTTTAAAGGAAGAAGATTGTATCTTTCTTGTTACGTTTACTTTAGCCTTAATTGGAGCTTCAAAAGGCAAAAGGCTTCTCATCCCTGTCCTGAGGAATTGGGCCCATTTTTTTTTTTTGACACTTTTATTGATAAAATAAGAAGTTCAGATAGGGATGGTGTCACATCAGTGTCCAAAAAAATAATAATAAAAAAAAATTAAACATTTGTTTTAACATTTAAAAAATAAATAAATAAATAAGGGTTAGTATTTTCTCTTTGGAGTTGATTTTCATGGAGTTTTTGTATTCATGAGGAGATTTTTCTAACTAATATATATATTAAATAAATTCTTAAACTAAACATTACATAGGCCTTTAACAAGACATTTCATGTAACTAAACAGAATTTTAAAACATCAGATGTTACAATAACAAATAATAGAAAATCATTATAATAAAACTATATAAACTATTATTCTAAATGATTATAGGCTAATCAAACCTAAAAAATAAAAAAAAAAACGAGGTCTATTAACTCCTAACGCCTAAATATGAATTATATCATTTACAAGATAACAAAATATTTAATAAAATAAAAATTGCATGAAAAATTTAATTCTAAAACATCAGATGTTGCAATAAGAAATATATTTAAAAAAAAAACAATTATAATAAAATTATATAAACTCTCATTCTAAATTATAGGCTGATCAATAATAATTCTACAACAAAATTATTAGAACACTAGGATTTTCACCAGCTAAAAAAAATGGTTTTATTTTAGTTAAACCTATAAATTGAGTTACCTTTTGCTGTAGTGTCAGTAGGCAATATCAGTTTACATTTCCAAACAATAATTTTGCCATTAATTAATTTTTTAGCTGGTGAAAATACTAGTGTTCTATTAATAATAATTATATACATGTACATATATACACATACACATATATACACACACACACACACACACACACACACACACGCATATATGAATTTATTTATTTATCTATCTATGTTGGATTTAATTCAAACCTGCATTTCCTACATGAGCACCACAACTTGCTAACTGCTAGGTCACAGCTACAACTAGGAATCTTACCTTAAACAGATCTGCCACTAGGCCATAGTCAGCCACCTGAAAAATGGGGGCTTCTGGGTGCTTGTTGATGGCCACGATGGTCTGTAAAACAATTAAATCAAGTTAGCATGGTGGGCTGTACTGAATAGAAAGCCTCTATGAGTTGAGCGCTGATGGATTACAGTCTCCATAATTCCCAAAAGTCAATTCCCAGAACAAGTACAGTAGTAACAAAAAATGCTAACACATTATTCTTGTAAACATCATCAACATGAGGATGATGCTCCTATATGCAACATATGGAGGAAGATGGTTGTGATGGGCTCTGACAGATAAAGCAGTGCTACCAGAAACTCTTCCAGAGATGTGGAATGGAAAATGCAGATGAATTATGGATGCAGGTAAAAGGCTCCTCCAGATCGCTTTTAAAACACTATTCCAATACAGCGTCACACTTAAGAGGGAGTTAACTTGGCGTATTCTGTTAACTCTTGGAGACACCGCTGGTCATGGTGGGGTTTCCTCTGATTGCAGATATTATCACAAAAAATGATATCTTCTTAGTGTACTACAGTGTGTGGGTGTGTATTTTGACATGTATTACTAACTGTACCTTGCTATCCTTCATTCCAGCAAGATGTTGGATCGCTCCAGAGATGCCAACCGCGATGTACAGCTCCTGTGTAGTAATCAAAAAAGTATTTAAATTATTTTAAAAGGGAAATATAATACAAATCAGCAATCTATTGCTCTTTTGAAATAATGTCACATTTATGAAAGCCCATATTTGCATTTCACTGCCTATTCAGTACTCTGCATGTGAAAACTACTGGCAGTAGTAGATTAACCATGTTTTTCCCATTAAAATCGAGTAACATTATTTGAGCTATCTATATATAAATTCTGGCCAATAATTGTGTATTATATTCATTTAAATCAAATGATATTACTTTCTAAACATTTAAAGGGGTCATATGATGTTGCTAAAAAAGAACATTATTTTATTTTGTGTATTTGGTGTAATGAAATGTGTTTATGCGGTTCAAGGTTCAAAAAACATTATTTTCCACATACTGTACATTATTGTTTCTCCTCTATGCCCCGCCTTTCTGAAACACAGAAAAAGGAAAACTTGAAATCGCATCATATGACCCCTTTAAATTTAATATTAATAACAGATAAACCGTAAAGCAAATCAAATTATTTCTCTCATTTACCTAACAAACAAATTAAAACATATTATCCTCTCTTCACGTGCAAAAGTAGCCAATTATGAATTACTTGTGACAGGAAGCTCGTTTAATATGCTTTCAGAATCATGTAATGCAGAAGCCTGATTGGCTGACGCCCCTGGCAACAATATGGTGTGCCATGTTTCAATTAGCAGCACTTAAAATGAACTGCAACAAGCCTGGTGCTTAAAATTAAATCAGGAGCTAGACTCCTGCTTGCATATTAGACAGAAATGTGACTGAAAACCCTCAACAAGCGACAATTTAGCAACATCACAGGTTGCTATTGATACAATAACGAAGGACGTTTAAAGCTGTAAATCTGAGCTAAACCGGGCAGGGTCTCGGCGTTGGCACGGAAGCACTCTGCTGACCTCCCGTCCCGGAGTACAGGCCACAACATCCTCGCAATTACTCAAAAGAGGAGCACTTGGGGGATGTGGCAGGGAGCTCCCCCTCGCCTCCACCCTTGTCCCGAGGGAGTGGTACATCAGTGGCTCTCAGCTTAATGCACTGCTCCATGAATATTTCAGTGCAGTTTAATGTGGCTGCGGCTCTCTCCCGGGGGCCACTGCTTCAATTTGCGAACACGCGGCTGGCTGGAGCTCTAAAAGCCAGTGGGAGAGGAAGGAGGGCAGGGCTGGTGTTTCAGACGGCCTGAAGTGATGGAGACCTGCAAATATCTCAAGATCTACAGGATGGAGGAGGTTGTAGTGGGTGGTGGATAAAAGTTTGCTGAAGATTTCGCAACATCATGGTGCACATCTTTAAATGTGCATTTTACACAAAAATTCTGCAAAAAAACTCCAAATCATGTACATCCAGTCATCAAAACATCACCCTGAGGGCTAAAAGATTATGATTAACCACAAAAGGCATATTCAATCAACCCAAAACAACACTCATCCATTGACTCATCCACGAGTTCATTTCACTGGACTCTTCGCCAGCAGAACTCATTCGGGACTTGTTCAGGGTGAATACTAATGCACAACGGTCACGTTGCGCTTGACAAGCTTGTCAAAACATTTAGAGAATTGGGTTTGGTGCTGATTTGCCCGGTTTGAGCTCGGGGTGGACCTATGCGGTGCACGGCTCCACTAATGGCTCTGGTAAATCATTTAGAAGCCGGAATGTGCCATTAACTACATCACAACGCCTCAGAGCGCCGCTAATGTGTGGATAATGACAGCGGGGAGGTCCCACTCACAGCGGATAATGGAAAATTAACCTTTTTAAAGGGCAACACGGATCCATCTTTCTAGACTCAAACAGAAACAACAATTAGATGTTGTTGTATTCAAAGTCGAGATGGTTTATCAAGCCTAAAAACCTGGTGGTTTTATAACTTTGAGAGATTTTTATTTTTTTTTTTATCTCTGTAGAGGCAATTAGTGCATATGATGGACTGCAGGACACACCGAGATATCAGACAACTGGTTTTTGACGGCGGTACTTACAGGAGCCACAATCTTTCCAGTCTGTCCAACCTGCATGTCGTTAGGAACATAACCAGCATCAACTGCGGCTCTGGAGGCACCGACTACAAGAACATTTTGGTGGTTTCATTTTAAATTCATATAGCTTGATTAAACACTAACACTAAAGACTGAACCTAGAGTAAAAATCAACAAAACAAACAGTGTACCGGCTGCGTTCAGTTTGTCGGCTAGGTCGTAGAGCAGTTTGAAGTTCTCGCCGCTCTTCAAGCCCCTCCCTGTTATGACACAAAGACGGCAGATGGCCATAAAATATGAAATTACTGACAAGGTTATGACTCCAGTCGGATCAATAACGGCTCGGTTTACTATCGATTTTCTGAGCAAAAAAAAAAAAAAAAAAAAA